GCGACCGGGCTTTCACTGTGGGACAGCCGTCTAAGTAGACTTCTAAAGCCAGAACGGCGGGAGCAACAGTTTGAAGATTTAAACAGTTTGACTGACAAGGGAGGGGGTTTTGTTTCATCATTCGTTATGGTAAGACCCCTTATTGGCAACCTTCCCAGGCCTGTGAAAGAGGAAATGTGAGAAGGAGAAAAAAGAGAGGAGAGTAGAAGAGTACATCTTTCTGACAACTTTTGTGAAAATAATGAAATACCAGTATAAAGACTTTGAACCCTTGTTTGATTCATTTATGCTGCCCTGAAGCATTGTTTAAACACTGAGATGCTCTGGATTACAATTTTTTTTTTTTCTTGTCAAACACCTTGCCATTTTGATGCGTGAACACACTAATACTATTTCTGCCTGCACATATATTTCTTACCGTGTGTTTGTGACTTGCCTATCCAGAGGCAGGAGTATGAGGTCCATGGGCACGCCCCCCAAGTTATAATGGCGCATCAACTCTCAACCCTTTAACTGCCCTCCCGCTCCTCTTGTTTCTCCTCTGCCCAGTCATCGACTGCAGCAAAGAGAGTGAGCCGCTTTTGCCAATGAAAGCTGTTTCCAGTTTCTCCATCGCAGTAGCTAAATTCCTATACCCACATGCTGAGTTCAGTCACGTGGACCTTTCAGAAGGCAAGAATGAAGGACAGGAGGCCGGCTTCAGTTCCACCTAAAAATACAAACCAATAAACAAAATATTCAAACGTTAATGGACTGTACTTATATAGTGCCTTTCTAGTCTTCTGACAACTCAAAGCGCTGCACACTGCCATATTCACCCATTCATACAGTAATGACAAAGGCCATCACAAACGGAAAGTAATTCATTCATACACATTCACACACCAATGCATGGTATCAGGAGCTATTTGGGGTTTAGTATCTTGTATCTTGCTTTGACATGCAGCAGGAGGAGCCGGAGATTAAACTAACAACCTTTCAATTAGTGGACAACCCGCTCTACCACCTGAGCCACAGCCGCCCCTGCTTTTTCTTGTTTTTTTAAATAAACAGTATTAATGATGACTGTATTTTGAGTGTTAAAAAAAAAAAAAATGTAATGTGTCTGTGCTCCTTACCAGCATGTAGTCATCAGTTTGTGTACTGTATGTAAAGAGCAAAAGAGCATTGAACTGGTCTGTTCTGAAATCCATAGAAATATCAAACTCTTGTCCCCCACCGAAAACATCTCTGCGCATCTCCAAGTAACCTGAAACAAAGAAGAAATAATTACCAACAACATGCCATTTACATTTACAAGGCTTTTTTCACTGTATTGGGAACCAAGGTGGTCTGTATCCTTTTTTTCCAGATATAAAATCTGAGTCACACTTAAAACGTATGAGATGTTGAAAATGAAAATGTTTTGGCATATATTCAAAAGTGACAGACAGAAATAAAGGCCTGGATGAGTAGGCCCTCTACAAAGCAATAATGGAGGAAATGTGAATTGATGAACCTGATCTTTCACACAGAGACCAATTAACTTATCATCATCATATTTATCAACATGAAACAACAACCTCATTATCACCAACATCAGCAGCAAGCATCTTATTAAGATATAGTGTTGCCAGTGTATTAGGAACACTAAACATTCACTTGAAGTTGTATCTGAACGCAGCTTGCTCATGACTTTCTCTGCAATGCGAATACCCCTGTTGTCATGTTTATGACAGTTGCAGTATAAAGTATTGTGCTACCACATACACTATTATTTCATCTTTGATGGACATCAATCTTGTAGAATATAGTAATCTTAGTGTGCATTGTGCTTTTGAAACAAGAGAGAAAAAATAACCATTTCTATTATCAACAACAATCAATAAGATCCTACCATGACCCAGAAAATGTGCTCCATCCACAGTTTGAACAGGGCATCCCTCCCAGCTTTCATACACTGCCACCTTCTTTGTTGCTGTTGCCCAGTCCAGAGGTTTCCATTCCTCTGAAGGGCTGTCAGTCACCTTAAAACTCACGTCTCTAAGGCAACCAGAGAAACCCTGTCGCACTAGCCGTGCATCACCTGGTGAGATAGACCAAAACATATTTAATTTTTTCATGACTTGAAAAGTTTAAACTCCATTATTCCAAACTGCCTAAAATACTGCATTTAAGTTCAACATTTTGAGTTCAAGTTGTCAGTGGCAATTGCCTTCCAGTGCTTATTAGTATCAGTGGCTGAATATGAGAATGATGAAAAATGTTATGTATTCAGTTGGTCTTGAGCCCGGACCTCAATCAAGAGCTCTGGACCTCAATCCAAGGTTTATTTCCCTTCCTAAATAATACTTGAGGAAGTTAGAAAAGTCCTATGTAATCCATCCAGTTGTAGCACTACCTGCCTTATAGAAAAGAGTGGCTAGATACCACCTCCTTCTTTGAGAATCAATAACATTTAAAAAGCCAAGCCAGGTTCAGATGGCCAAAATTTATCAAATCCATTGAAATGTTAAAAATGATAAACAATAACACATAATTCAGTGGATGATGATGGACTTACCCAAATCATTTCTAAGCAAACTAAAGTCTTCAGGTAGCCCTCCAATGAACACCCCTGTGTTCTCACCAATAATGGAGCTGCCACTGGAAGCAGATGCAATTCCTGGTGGTGGTGGAGGTAGGATGGTGGTGTTACACATATATATGGCAGAGCAAAGCAAAGGTGTGGAATTGTGGGGGGGGGGTTAGGGTTAGGGGGAATTAGAGTAAATATGAAATCAGAGCATTTAGGGTACAAAAGGGGATGGAACACAATACAATAAAGTGACAAAAGAAGTACAAAGAAGTAGGTGGTAAAGGATGGGTGAGTGTAGGAGAGAAAGAAAGAAAATGAATAACATATTTGAGAACAACTGAGGAACATAAGCATGTTTCTGTGTGTGAAGCACTATTTTTCTCATCAGACACAGACTGGCTGGGATTAACCTGTCTAATACCTCCATACGGAGCTGGGCGATTTACATACACAGAAACACACATACAGACACATACTGTACATGTTAGTCTTGCATCCTCACATGTGTAGATTAACATAAAAACACTTACATTTAAACTCACACACCCACACACTGAGCAGATATACACAGTGGTCAGTATGAATATGAGAAGAGTTACCTCTGTATTGATTGTTTACAATGATTGTTCCCACGGCCCCTTGCCTTGTTGCTATGATGCTGTGCCATTGTCCATCATTGTAGCTGTGCCCTCCATCACCCTGTACGCTCACAGCCACCACTGAGCCCTACACACACAAACACAAGCACACGTAAACATAATACAGGCAAGAATTTAAACACATATACATTAATGGTGTTGATTTATACTGGTTTCTTAACTCTGACCATAGGTCTTGCAACTATGTGCCTTACAGTAATTGCTAAAGTAAATCTATGACCTCTGGCTCAAAAGAGACCACTTTTCAAATCACAGTGCAATCAAACACGCTTACTTTGTAACATTTTAAATTATCGCTTCTTTATCCCTCTGTTGTGCGAACAAGGTTAGACATTAAGGATCGATGACACACATACACACACCACCCTCAAAAGGACACGAACATGCACATATAATCATCAAAGTGTGGTTACAGGGCTTTTTGCTACCTATTAAGTATGACATCATTGTTGTGATCAGCTTTTAGCAAGCAGGCAAAGAGTAATAGTAAAACAAGAGTAACGGGTACGTGCACACACACAAACAACATATATCCAGATACACACACAGTGATGAAGATTTAATGATGAGATCAATAAATGTATGAATGCCAGAGTATATCAGCCTCTGACATCTTTACTACCATTTCTAGACAGCTCTACTTAACAAGACAACATGGGAGGAGTCTCTTTACCGCTTTCTCTCTCACTCACTTTTACACATACACACAAACACACCCGTTTAAATCCCTCTCCTGAGAGATACTGTCATTGGAAGCAACTAACACTCAACTCTTCCAGAAACTAGTACTGAAGCACCCTTTTGCAAGGTATTTAGTAACATAATTGCTAGGCAGAAATTGCCTGAGCATAGCCCTCTTCTCACTTAATCATGGTCTCTCTCTCTCTCTCTCTCTCTCTCTCTCTTTCCCTCTCTCTCCCTCTCTGTCTCTCTCACACACACACACACACACTACTGAATGGATACAGGGGGATGACTTTCAGTTCAGATAAAAGCGATGTCACTCATTATGTGAATAAAAAGTAAAAAGCTGGACGAAAAAACACACCTAACTTTAGCAAAGACCCACTCATGAGGATGGTGGTCCCTGTAGCCTGCATTTGACTGGTAAAGCACTCGACTAAGGTGCGTGTCTGCTGTTGTGCCTCTTTAATATACAGCATGTGATACTGGAAGCTGATGGACACACATGTGCACATACACCAAATAAATAGCACTTATCCAAAGTGCTGCCCCTGTGGCTTTCCCAGCTATACTTGGCAACCAGATACAGAATGTGAGCATATCTATGTGTGTATGTTACTGTGTTTAAGAGGGCGTGTGAGCGTTTGTGAGCTTGTGTGTATACGTATATATGTAAGGCAAACGCTTATGGACACAGAAGGAAGTAGTTTGTTACTCTTACATTAGATGACATTCAGATCCCCATTTCCATCTCTATGTCCTCATCTCTCTCACAGTCTTCCAGATGTTTTCTGCTTTCCATTAGATATATTTAGAATCTTTGCTATAATGGCGATGAACTTATACCCATATAAAACTGGTATTTCCAACCACTATCTTTTCAAAAACTCTAATTGTAGATAACTTTTTTGGCATCTCAAGGGTCTAATGTTGCCACCTGTTGACAAGAAATATGGAGTACCTCAGGGCTCTCTTTTTGGCCTTCTGCTTTTCCCTCTATATTTTTCACCTACTGGCCAAATTATACATAGCCATAGAATTAATTTCCACTGCTAGGCTGATGATACTGTACTTGTATGTGCCTGTGAAGGCAGATGATCATTCCTAAATTATTAAAATTAAATTACTGCTTGTCTTCTGTGAAATCCTTGATGTCATATAATTTCCTGTTCCTAAATTCTGATCAACCCGGGATCATTGGCCCTGCTCGATATAGACATCAGTTTGACCAAGTATCACTAACTCTCAACAACTATGTGATTGCTTAAAGTTTGACAGTAAGGGTGCTCTGATTGATCAAAACACAAGCTGTGTTTATATTATATATTGGGGCTAAGACAGCAAAGGCACGGTCACCTTTAGTTTTGCAGTTGGAGTGGAGAATTCAGCAGAAAAATAATTCAGCAGGCTGCAGGGGCTTTTTCCTATCATGCCCCTTTTGTCTAAAATAACCTTCCTGTTGACATCAGACAGTCTCTGTTGGGGTTTTTAATTCTAACCTAAAAATGTATCTCTTCGCCTTAACTTTTAATTTGTGCTTATTCTTAGATTACTTGCAGCTGTTACCATTATGCTTCCGGTGGGTCAATCTCAGTACCAATGTATCTATTAAGTCTCGTACTTATAGTCCATAGTTTGTCTGGCTGACAAGATTGCTGTAAACTTTCTGAAAGCCGCTGCATCTCCCTAACCCTCTGCTGTTTAAGTGTCCCACAAGAAAAGCTTTGTTCTTATCTCTCTCTCTCTCTCTCTCTCTCCCCCTCTCTCTCTCTCCTTAGTTTCTCCCCCTTGTCCTCTCTTTTCACCCAAGCATCCCTGTACCAGACCATCAGCCGCCCAGGGACCTGGATCCACTCTCTCCTCTTCTCTTCTCCTTCTCTCTCCCACTTGTGTGCATGCTTTCCTTGTCTCTTTATCTCTCCCTCTGTGTGTTTGTTATTTTCTCCTCTCTGTGTGGCCTGTCCTTTTTCCAGGACTCTATGATTGAGAGGAGGTTGTGTGGCTCAGGTCCTACCTATTTTGTGACACACTGAAGCTGTGCAATGTCCTCCTCGATCCATATTCTTCACATATGTTTTACAATTTACATGTATCTGTAATTTTGTCATCATAACTTGTTTATTTGTTGGTCTGTTCTGTACACACAACTATATATGCTGAGACAGCCAGTGGTTCATAAAACACTTACCTGCATCAAGAGTGGAAACTATATAAATGTGTGTTTGTGACAGTAAGTTAACTCCAGTGCTTTGGTCTATCTCTTCTACGTGTGAAAGGGAATGTTTTTGAGTGCTTATGTGCTTCAGCGTACTTTGTGAGTGTGTGTGTGTGTGTGTGTGTGTGTGTGGCAGCTCACATGTGCACATATTTATGAGCATATCACTTTCCTGTGTCATGCTAAATTACCCCCCCTGCACTAGTAATCCCATTAGGCTAGCTCAACAGGCTAATAGGGGGAAGTAATGGGCCTAGCTATATGTATCTAGGGGAACACTAATAAGCCGTGACACCACTCCCACTGTTAATTACCCCAAACTAGCCTAAACAAAGGAATCAACCCAGTTGGAGAAGACACACATACACTCCATCGCACATCCAGCAGTACACATAACCGCAGACACACAAATTAACACTGCATGTCAACAAGGATCTATTCAGTGACATACACCCCCTTTGCACACACAGATACATCCCATGGTCACATTTTGATGAAGTCTTTTTGATAATAAGTATTGGATAGTGATGAGGATGGAAAGTGTAAGTGTAAGTGTGTGTGTGT